CCCCTACACAACAACTTATAAAGAGGGGAGGTGTTACATACAGCACTGATGTTACCTGTCTGTCATGGGTTTGGAGGGAAAGTTCCATCCTATGGGGAGTGGAAGGCGGGACATCAGGAGGAGGGGCTGTACTGTATAAATATGTGATGCCTGTGTGGTGAGAGAAGAGACACTGAGAGACACTGGGATGTGACGAAGCAGCAGCTGGGAAGAAGAAGCTGTTGTGGGAGTCTGTGTGTCAGACAGGGTACTACTGGGTGTCAGAGTACCAACCTGATAGGTTCAGGTGTCTGTTGGTTAGCCAGAACTGATAGGTTCAGGGTCTGTGCTTCAAGTTAAGGGTTCTGGGTGAACCAAACTGTATGCTTGTATGAGTGAGAATAAGCCACGTTACTTTATCCTATTCACCTGATTGTTTATTTTTCCCTGTGTGTATTTAAATAAACCTTATTCTTTTTATTGTTTAAAAATCCATCCCTGGTCTGTGTGACTTCTTACAGGGAATGGTTGGTGGCAGCTTAGTGTAAATGTGTGGCAGATCCCAGTAGGTCTGGGTTTGTCACAGTTCTCACTAGACAGAAGAAGGAAGAAAGGGGAGCTGCAGGGCAGAAGGCACCACAAGAGTGAGGGGGGGTTGTTTCTCATTACAAAAGTGGTAGCAGTCTATAGAAAGGACAAAGCAAAGTGTAGCAAGTTCTCAACTTGAACATAAGATTGGAAATCCAACAGTAAGTCATAACTAGAGTAGCCCCATTGAACTAATGGACCATACAGAGGTGTTGACTCACTATGTACCCACTGATTCAATGGGCCTATTCAAGTTGTGACTTACTGTACTACTATTTTCAGTCTCCTAAAGGTTGGGAAATGCAACTTTCTTACACCTTATTCTACCAAAACTAGGTAACAATAGATAACTAGGTTACTTGTAACTTTTTACTTCCAATTTCTAAATACTTTTCATGTGCGCTTTTTTGTTATGGTGAGCTATGAACAAACAGGCAAAAAAAAAGAGATGTAGAAGAGGTTACTTCCTCTGCTTTTTTGAACCAGCAAGGAGGATGAGCGAAAAAGAATAACATGGTGTATTGTATATGTCAGAACTGTCAAGAGCAGTAAAAAAAAACTGACAGGAAAACTGTTCTCAAAATGTCTGGTTTTTAATAAAGTATCTAACATTTGAAGACCCCTTTGGATGGGACCTGGAAAGGGAAAAGGTCAACTGGGGGAATATGGGGTAAAAGGCAGGATATCCTGATTTGGACTCATCGTAAGGATGCCTACTCTGTAGGCATCATCCGGCTCTGCTTTTCTTGTGTTTTGTTCATTCACAGTTAGAGCCAAGTAAAAATTGAGACCCTTCTGTGTAGAGAGCAGAACTCAGCAATGGTTTCTTTTAATGGACTACAAATCCCAGCATCCCCCAGGCAACTTGGCCAGGTGGCTGATATCAAACCTTGAGTCCATAACAGAAGCATTTTGTTGAAGCTCGGATGGAGAAGAAGACCCTGATTCAAAGCTGTCATGCTATGAAGGATGGACAACTTGGTCTTTATTCCCAAGAGTGCTCGGGGAAGGGCTTCCCTCATATCTTAGTATCCTTCCCCACCCCACAGCAGCTAATGGTTTCTGCTCTGGGACTAACCACAGCTTTGGGGTAGAGAGACCGGGGAAACAGACCGGGCATGTTCAAAGTCTCTTGCACAGCTCTGTTACTTTAATCCTGTTCAGAGGACTCAAGGGAAAATTATTCTGCCCATGCTCATTACTTCCTATATTCTAGTATTCGGTTCTAATATTTTTTAAAAAATGTTCAGAGGAAAGGAAAATATACTTACTGTATTTTTCCAGCTCTTATCCAAGAAAAGATCTGCCTCAAAAGAAGGCCAGGAATGATAAAGACCAGTCACTTCAAGTCTTCTTTTCATTGGGTTGCTTGACTGCTGTGCACATGAAAATGAGATATAGAGTTAAAATATTAAGGCACACCTTGTGTGATTTTTAGGTGGGACGTGGTGGCGCTGTGGGCTAAACCACAGAAGCCTGTGCTGCAGGGTCAGAAGACCAGCAGTCATAAGATCAAATCCACGTGACGGAGTGAGCTCCTATTGCTTTGTCCCAGCTCCTCACCAACCTAGCAGTTCAAAAGGATGCAAATGCAAGTAGATAAATAGGCACCACCTTGGTGGGAAGGTAAAATGGTGTTCCCTAGTCATGCTGGCCACGTGGCAACAGAAATTGTCTTTGGACAAGTCCTGGCTCTATGGCTTGAAAATGGAATGAGCACCGCCCCCTAGAGTCGGACACGTATGGACTAAAAATGTCAAGGGGAACCTTTACCTTTACCTATGTGATTTTACACATTTTGCACCAATCTTTCCCCTACCTAATCTTTAAAACTAACCGCCCAATATTGCACCTGTTCCTTATGTATCCAGAGAACTCTTAGAAGTGTGATACAAATTCTGATACAATTATTATTTTATTTTAAATATTTTTGCCCTGTCTTTCTCCCAATTACTACTAGTATCTCCCAGAACAAGACGGCATGCATCTGTTTTGGGATTCGAAACAACTACCAGCACAACCCACAGACAACCAAGGACAAGAAACACTGTACTACTTTGAATCACTGTGCTGTTTGCACAGAAATGAACTGTTAGAACTTGTTGAGATCAATAAAAAATATCTTGCCTTCTCGCATGCAAAGAAAAGGTGTTATGGATGCTTTTTGTCATAGATTTAACCAGGGCAAGCGAGGAGTTACCTCCCCACTTGGGTTACCCCAACTCCACACATACTTTTTTTGTGTATGTAGTGCCCTCTTCAATTGTTCAATATGTGAGAGGGATACACACAAGCTAGTTCTGCCCCCATTGTTGCTCACACAAAGCAACAGGCTTGAAGAGCGAAGACCTACCAAACTGTGAAGGCTCTCCATGTGTGGCAGAGCAGTAATTTCCCCGTGTTCTGGTTCCCTTGGAGAATCTTCATAGACTGGAATCTCCACTCTTCAGACCTGTTGCTTCATGGGAGCAAAATGGCAACAAAGAGGACAAGGGCCACTTCACTCTTCTTTGTCACATGCTTAGACTTCCTGGCAACCACATCACATTTATATGATGGATATTGGCTACACATAGATCGGTACATGGCAAATGTGTTTTTTGTTGGCACTTAGGATCCAGGAAAGGAAGCCTCACAGAATATGACCAGAATTCTGAATAGTATCAAACTGCTCTTTGCAAGGTGGGTTGGCACCTTCCACACATTCTTGGTTAGAAGCATTGTTCATTTTTAGTAACTTTCTATTTAAGATTTGTCAGGCAATTAGCTTTCACTTTTGATGTGGGAAGATGAGTTCTTTCCCAGTCACTAACTCAAGCAAAGAAGCAGCCAGTCTCTGCTGCTAGGAAGAAAGTGTGTGTGTGTGTGTGTGTGTGTGTGTGTGTGTGTGCGTGCGTGCGTGCATGCATGTGTGCTTACAATAATATTTGCAGGATGTTTGTTATGTTTTCTTTTTCTCTAATGTTTTTTTTAAAAATAGATTTCCCCAGATCACCTTCTCATCCAACAAAGTGCACAGTATTCATATTTAATTCCTTATAGAAGAGAGAATTCCCACTTGACACAGGTATATGCAGTACGACTGCGGGGATAAAGACAGAAGAGGGATTCACCCTCCTTCAGCTACCTTGCCAGTTGTACCACTACCTCAAAGAGTGCACTTTAAATCCATCATAAAATCATTAAAGGGTCTTAAAAGGAATAACTCATTTGGCTTTAGAGAATGCATGGACATGACCTTGAATTTGAGAATAGGGCACAGGCATGAGTTCGCTGAGGCCAAATGAGTTACCCCCTCCCTTTAAATAATCTTTAATGACAGCAGTTAAATAACTCTTTAGTTGTGTGGAAATGATAGAGAACGGGGAGAGATACTAGGAAAAAGAGCTCAGCAGCAGGAAATATCAGTGCTCAGTTCTTTAGGGTCAAAAGCTTCAGCTTAGAGCAACAATTCCCAACCTTGGGTCCCCAAATGTTCTTGGACTAAAACTCCCAGAAGCCTTCACCACTAGCTGTGCTGGCTAGGATATCTGGGAAGAACATCTGGAGACCCATGCTTGGGAAGCAGTGGCTAAGGCAGTGGCATGGCATGTCATAGGCATCCTTCAGTCTCGAGAGACTATGGTAACATGCTCTGAATCAAGCAGTGTCCTCTCCAGAGCATGAAGCCCGGGTAAGGTAATATGGAGGATAGGCTGTTACCCAAGCAGCAGATCCCCCCTCTCCACGTTGCTGAAATGGTCCAATGGAAAGGCAAGAGCCAATACAACTGGTTCCAGCAATGTCGCAGGAGCTGGCAGAACGGCACATGCTGCCTTCGGGACTCCAGCTCCGGATTTTGCCTCGAGGTTAACTCCTGAAGCCTTTTCCATGAGTGGATATAGCCACAAGGCAGTGGAGGTTTGAAAACGGAGTTTTCCTTCTCCGAGATGGGCTGCCTTCCATGGCTGATGAGCCCCACCTACCCGGCCTGCTCTTTAATAGTGCAAAAGTATGATCTGATCCTTAAAACTTTCCTGACTCCCCGGCTTATGCAAATCTAATTGGCTTTCCTATTTACCATCTTAAGGCCAGATACAAAATTTGAGAATTCCATGCGCCATTAGGCGCACGGTCCTGGGACACGCTCTTTTAAAGCAGGAAGTCCCACCCCTAGGCCCCACCCCAGGCCATGTGGTTAGGAGACAAAAAGAAAAAGAAAGCCCAGGAAAAAAAAACTCAGCAAGGCATCCATGCAAACAGACCTGGCCTTCGCCCTCAGCCCAGCTTCCTAGGGAAAAGGGTCCAGGGTCCTAGGACACGCTCTTTCAGGCAATGGAGAATATCTTGATTTATCTCAGATGTTGAAATGTTGTTGGCTAGCCTGCGGTGGTTGCTGAAATGGTTCATTAGTGTCAGCTACTTGTCCCTGCCCCAAAGGTATTGAAGAGGAGGCAGAGAAGAGGAGAATTTCCCACCCTTCTTGGCTAAATTCTAAGAAACACTGGTAGGGGTAGGGCTGCCTCCACCTACTATGTCTGGACTTGAAGGTAACGACTGGTTAGGGTCCCATGGCTGTGTGCTTCTGATTTCAGCAAAGATGGTCAGCCAAACAGTGATCCTTCTTATGCTAGTTTGACTTAATCAATAGCAACCATTCTATTTATCATGCCGCCCTTTCATCTGTTCCCAGGAAGATTAGGGCCACCCACACCAGAAAGACTACAAGTTAACAACCATTAATGACCCATGACAATGGGTGAAGAAGTACTGGAAGAAATCTTCCCTCACCCCACAGTCCTTTGTCCTTCTAATGAGCCTATTCAGACCAAGGGGAAGTGAACCCGACAGGGAGGATATATCAGAGATCTCCTACAAACTCTCCTCAGACTTAAGAAGCTACTTGGATGAGTAGCAAAATGTTTCAACTTAAGAAAGAAGTCCAGTTGCCATGACTCAACTTCCATACATGTTATGTTACTGTTTGCTAGAGAAATATATTTCCATGATTTCATTACCAGAACTGGCCACTAGAGAGATCCAGAGACCACGCTATTTGTAGTGTTTGCTATTAAAATATTATTTGCTGTAATCCACGCTTTCAGCATTCGTGGGGAGAGATACCAGCATTCGTGGTACCAATTCCCACAGATAGGGGGATCCTACTATATGCACAATCTTTGAACACATTCAGCCCATTTATCACTTTCCCTTAACGATTTAATGTCTGAGGGGGCTTTTAAATGGAAGGTTGTGCCTTCTTGCTTTAAATCTCTTTTTGGTGTCAATTTTGTTTCCCATTTTTAGCATGATATTTATTTGATTCTTTTAAAAATATTTATCTGCTGACTATTTTAAGTTTTTAACATTGTGTTTTTAATTATGTGAGCTACCTTGAGTCTTTTGTAAGGAGAAAAGTGGCATACAAAATATTTTAAATAGATAAATAAAATTAAAAGTGTGTCAAGTAGCACTGTACGTACAGTATTCAAAATATGGGCATCTTTCTGTGCACATTTTTAAATGTGAGCATTTTTTCCTGGGTTCTGTTCCTATTGTTGTTGGAAAACTTCTTTGAACTAAATGGATCAGGGAAGGAAGTATATCCTCTAGAAATCAGGGCTCCTGATAATGTGTGTGAAGCCTCCCTTTGTAACACAGGTTCTTCTGTTCAGACAATTGCTTCCCCCACCCACACAAAAAGATATAACTAGGATGGGGCTAGACTATTCCTCTGCCCATATTCTTACATTCTCTTAAGGACAGACAGAATGCTTACTAAGTGTGTCTTTCTTGTTGATTTGTGATACAGCCCTGGCAAGCTGAGAATGTCTCAAGAATGGCTGAACTGGCACAGCCAAGACTGTGCTGAAACCAAATTCCTGCCAGTCTAGAAATACTGAAAATTACATAAGGTTACCCTGATCATGGCTTAATGTTATGCTGGTACATTGGTTACCCTGATCATGGCTTAATGGTGTGCTGGCATAGTAATTACGAGTCTGGACTGAGAAGGATTTGGATCTGGAATAACTCAACTCCTCCCTTGTTTCTCCCTTTCTCTGCCTCTTTGTTGGTTCTTCTGCTGGCTGATCCCAGCCAGTCCTGTTCTTCTGCCAGTAGACGTTGTCTAGAGGGGCGGGGTAAAAATCAAATAAATAAACAAAGAAATAAATAGATCTCAAGTCAGCCAGCACAAGAGACCTGCATTGGCAGAAGGACAAGTTGCACTGGCAGAAGAGATTTCTAACTATTCCAAACCCTCTACAGCCATTGTCTTTGAGTTTGGACTGCATTGTTATCATGGTCTTGATAGAATAAGATATGTAGGCAATGAATTCTCAACATTCACAAGACTCTTCATCTCCAGCAGAACAGTGAGAGAAGAAGTGGTTTT